GTGTGTGTGTGTGTCTGTGTGTGTCTGTGTATGTGTGTCTGTGTGTGTGTGATGAGGTGCTGAAAAGTTCTCAGCCTGGCCTACTTTCCAAAATCTGATTATTGAGAACTTTTCAGCACCTTCTCATATATATGCATTCCGTGAAAAATGGCGGAGATATGTATGTTTTTCATATTTTATAAGTACAATTCAATTACGAAATTATTATTCATTTATCAACAGACAAAAATAATGTGTGAGCTAGAAATAACTTAATACATCAATAAATTATGGTGACGGCCTTGATTTTTATTAAGTTTAAAGTAACCAAAAATTCTATTTCTATTACGTGATCAGGGAGACGTAAAAAGTGTTATACAGATAGATAGATAGATAGATAGATAGATAGATAGATAGATAGATAGATAGATCTTCTGGTTGATCTCCATCTCAACAATACTTCAGACATGGTTGTCATGTAAATCTAAGATGCCAAATATGAAGATAAACTGATCATGAAAATCTTCGGACAGCCGCACTTTGCCAACATGGGCAATGTGGATTTAGGAAGCAGAATTCTGCTTGTGCCGACGACTTTGGTCGGCACAAGCACCTCGATGTAGAGTGTAACATTGATCCTACGGGAAGATTTGGGTTGGTGTGATATAGCCCTTTTTGTACATGACCCCCAAGGACTAATACAGATGACATGAACTTGATGGGCAGAACCACTTATCTTTTGCCCTGTTCAGCTGCCCACTTCCAAGAAGCTGGCTATCTCCGAAATGCTGTGATTGGCAGTTCGTGCCAAGAGGACGGAGAGCCTTTCTCATTTCCTTCGTCACATTCTAAACAAACCATGTTAATACTATTGATGTATAAGAAGGAATTAAGAATGATAAATTTTGGAGAATTCTGCGTAATATTATATTTGCTCGTTTACATTACATAACATTTAAGGCTCGCTGAAAGTCTGTTATCAAATAATTAGCACACTCGGTATATATAATAGATAATAGCCCAGTTAAGACATATATAATTTATATAATATAAATATTTACTTTATCATTTAAACATTAAAATTAATTTTTTATGTATAAAATGAAATACGATTTTCTAACTCAAGAAAAGAATAGAACACTCAAAAATTAAAAACGGCAGTCTGTCCAGAAAAAACGGAAGCTAAATGGCAATGAATAGCAACTATTGAAAAGAAAAAGAAAAAAATGAGAGAAAATTTAAAGCGTAAAGTGGAGAGATTAAAAAAAACGACGAAAAGGACAAATAATCACGACACACTACACCTATGCACATCCACGCAGACGGATGCATGGGCGCACGTGCACGAACACACACAAATACACATCCACTATGAAAAAATTAAAAAAAAAAACTTGCCGCAATGATAAGTGCATATAAAAAAAAATCGAGAATTATAAGCAGTCAGTACTTTCTGAGCGACTGTTCGGTTAAACTCTCTTTCTTCGGGGAGGTAGACCGGCCCTGAACCCGTTTATACGGGTTCAATGGGCATATTTTTGGCCGAGCCCACGGGCTCGGAATGCCCACGTTAAAAAGGCCTTGTGCCACATGACACCCTCGTGGGGAGGAGGTGACTGAATATCGTCAATTGCTGATATACTCTGACGAGTGGACAGAAGGATCCGTCTACGAAACTCTGGAGTCGGAATGCTGAAGGTAACATCAAACAGCTAAGTGACAAACATTTTACTTTTATTAATTATATATATATATATATATATATATATATATATATATATATATATATATATATATATTGATGTTCTCCATATATTTCGGAATCTATTATATAAAATAAAACACAATTGTACTTTCTATATTTATCGGTCACACAGCCAAATCTCAATTTCCTAATTGTGAAATATCCCGCTGTCATGTTCACAGAGATGTTGAAAAATTTACACCAAAACACAACCATCTCTATTAGGCACCTTACAGTACAACAAAAGACATAATTGTGATGGTAAAAATATCCTAGCCTAATCACATAGAAATTATAACAAATTTTTCCTCTTCTATGTCCCGTGTTCCTTCAGGGCGTGGTCGATCATGGCTCTCCACAAACATCCTGTCCTTTGTAGGCCTTAGAAAAACTTGTCCTTTTGCTATCTCTCCTAATCCGTGTCCTGTCGACCATTTACACATGCACATTAGATATGTTATACGCTGCTTTCTTCCAATTCCATTGCCTTCAATATGTCCTTAATTACTTAAACATCTCCGACATTTTTTCAACGGGAATGGCGGTGTTATGTCTCTTCGGATATTTTTACTTTTAATGTCTCAGAAAGCAAAATTATTTTTTTCACATACAGCAATAGTGTTCACTGAACAAATATTATCCTAATCATGTAAACGATGTAACTAATGCAATTGTAGAAAAACTGAAATTCAACCGTCACAAGTAAACTCGTTAATTAATTACTGCCAAGATGGGGATTGTATATGAAATTCACACGTGTGTGTGTGTGTGTGTGTGTGTGTGTGTGCGCGGGCGTGTATGTGTCTATGATATTATACGAGGGTAAATAAAAAAATTTATTAAGGCGAAAATGTATTTAAAGCGTTTTAATTTGGGAATTATTTACGGATAAATTTACACCTAGTATCTCTTTCCCTCACAAAAAAAAAACGGTCTTACAACGTGGGATAATTAAAAACAAGAAATATAAAAATAAACAAAAAGCGATAGAAAGCTGAATATAATCGGTTAAGTTAAATTTTCACCGGACGTTGAAAATTGAGAGTATGTGTGTGTGAGCGTGTTAGAATAAAGAACGAATCGGAAACATTTATCAATTGATTGATAAGTGTTTATTATTTCTTTATCTTATCATTCTTCTGTTCTATCGGATAATTATGAGTTTTTCTGATCTGAAATCCGATTACCTACTATTAGTTTTATATAGAGATTTGTATATTATATTCACACACGCATGCAATCACACACACACAGATAGATAGATAGATAGATAGATAGATAGATAGATAGATAGATATTATCACAACCTGACGTATCCTCTTTTTCTGCCCAAATTATTCTGATTTACCTCCAAGTGTATAACTGTTTAACTGTAATACTGATCATAATAACTCTATATTAATCCTACTGCTAATGACCTCGGAAATCTCATTCGATTTTATTTGTCAAACTGCAGACATAAAAACTCAATTTTGTATTCCATAACAAACTCAGTATCTCACGGCATTTGAATTAAAGGCTTTATTTGACTCCTAGCGATATGTTGTGCTCTGACTTGTGGTTACCTAGAAAAACTTGTACGATCAACATCACATCATATTACCTATGTTACAAATGGTTATATTGTGAGATTTCATGCTAAAAAATAGCTCAATGGCATTGTTCATGTGATATATATATATATATATATATATATATATATATATATATATATATATATATATATATATATAGGTGAAATAATTAATATATGTTCAATCTTATCCCTTAATTATGTTGTTTGGATATTTATTAATTAATTAACTATTGTTGATCTAGTTATCTATTGAATCGTTTTTACCAAAAATTCTGCTCACCTTGAAAGACTGCATATAGTCGTGTATAAGCGGACTTCATGTATACTTTGACACCTGTTTTTTCAGCAGAAGTTTTAAACCCTTTAGAAAATATTTACCTGTGCATAGTGCAACCGGTCACCGAAAATGCATGATTATCAACCACTTCAAGAAAATTACCTGTGTATAGTGCGCCCACTTATTTTTTTTGCGTAAAAAATGACCATAAAAACTTGCACAATATTTAACTTACGTATTTTGATGGATGTTATCGATTTATATTAGTATTATTATTATTGTTATTCCTGTTGTGTTGTTGTTGTTGTTGTTGTTTAAAATTTGATATATTTAGGGGAAAGCGTGCTCAATATATGAATTTGACTTGATCTGAAGATTCCTATGTCCTGACTCTCTCTGTCTCTCTGTCTCTCTGTCTCTCTGTCTATGTCTGTCTGTCTGTCTGTCTCTCTCTCTCTTTCTCTCTCTGTATATATATACATATATATATATATATATATAGGTAGTAATTCGTTGGTATAATCCAGGTGAGTCCTATTAACACAACATAGAATTTGAAATACGTTAAAACTGACTCATAAGAGAGCGCTCAATGTTTATTTTCATTTAACAGAGCAAATTTTCTTTAAAATTGAAATTAAGATACGTTTAGTTAATGACCATTTTCACCTACGAATTTTAATTTTAAAATTCTTGGGATTTTTTCAAACTGTTTATGCTATCAGTTTGTAGTGGGATATATATATATATATATATATATATATATATATATATATATGTAGTGGGATATATATATCAGTTTGTGTATATATATATATATATATATATATATGTGTGTGTGTGTGTGTGTGTGTGTGTGTGTGTGTTTGTAGTGGATATATATATAGTTTGTATATATATATATATATATATATATATATATATATATTAGTTAGTATATATATATATATATTTGTTTATATATATATATATATATATGTGTGTGTGTGTGTGTTTGGGGTGGGATATACACACACATATATATATATATATATATATATATATTGATATAATTAAAATGTTTGTCACTTAGTTGATTGTTCCAGATTTTTAAACGAAACCTCCGGGATTAACACCGTCTACTCCTCAGGGAGTATCACCAATTAGAAATAATGTATTAAAATGTCTTCTAAAAGTATTTGAAATAAACTAATCATATATACATAAGAAAAGAAATATGCAAATACTATATGTGTGTGTGTATGTGTATGTGTATGTGTGTGTGTTGACAACTGTCATAGAACAAAGTTTAGCGTATCACAGGTCATTTTATTTTACTGAGTTTGATCATAACTAAGTGCCCCATTATTGTGGCCTTGTGCCAAACTAAGCTGAAGGTAAGAGATGAAGAGAGATTCCTAATTCCGCCTTTTCATTTACTTTACATGTATTTTTCTTTTCTCCCTTTCATCTTAGTTTCTCTCTCTAAATTTTTCCTCAGTGGTGCCTCTCTCTCTCTCTCTCACATACTCTCTCTCTCTTACACACTCTCTCTCTCTTACACACTCTCTCTCTCTCTCTCTCTCTCTTTCTGCGTAAATGCATTGGCGTTGCCAAAGCGGGTCAGTGTAACACGTGATGCTGTATTAATTTGTGTAATCCTCTGTCTGTGTCTGACGAATGCAAAATTCATACCCAAACAAGACTGACTTAATTAAGACGAGTTCTACTGATTGCTTTCCCTGGCACGGCTCAACACAGAACTCAGAATTTAGACTGACGGGGCCCCCGTTTTCTTTCATTAGGTCTGAACGAAGCGGGCGTCAGCGCCTCGAGTAGCAGTTTCTTTGCTGCAACTGCGGATAAGTGAAAACGGGTCCAACGCCGCTAAATACAGCCACCATTACTCCGACGGAGTGAGATTTCAGACGTTGTGCGATTTTACTCGCATGAACAACTCTTTAAGATATTTTCAAATCACTAATTGTAAGTTTTCAAATCTGTTATTGTAAGGTTCAAACTCAAACGCTGTAATTTTGGGCATTTATTTAATGAATCTATTTTAAAAAATGACCTGCAAGAAATCCACAAATATTGCATAAAAATTATGCATGAAGCAGTTCCTCACTTGTTGCTCTAACATTCACTAAAAATGTCCAATTATATCGAGATCCGATGATTGCCTATTTCATTATTGTAGCAATGGATATCGACTCGAAATGAGAAATTGGAGTTCGTTACATTCATTTACGCGCAAATATCTTGAGAAATGTTTGAATCTATCTCTTCTAAGCTATGGATTGAACAGCAGGACAGAATGGTTCCTATAGCCTTGGTTGGCAACCAGTCTAGCACAGAAAGAAGCAGCAACCTACTACGCGAAAATCTTCTATCTAGCCAGTCAAGAATCGAAAAAGATATGATCTTCCAAGCGTTTTTCACGTATGGCACTGATTGACCAATTTTAAATAACATTAGCCGTGTGAATCAGTGCATTATCGTCCTAGTAGAGTGCACTACGATCAGACAAATTCTCAGATAATCCTTGGTGTTAACTCTGCCTTGTAAAACAATTAAAAGGCCAAGAGGATTCAATGATATGGCTACCTAAATTATCACAAGGCCACCTCTATGCTTCACAGTAGGGACCAAATAATCAAGGTTTAAGGCTTGTTTGTGCTGTCACCAGACAGACATTAACTCCGAAGGGGGAAAATGGTGAATAATGATTCATCAGAAAAGATGACATTATTCCACTGAGCCATTCTCAACTTCTAATAACAGGCATCAATTTTTCCGTTTATCAATGTTGATGGGGGGACAGATCGCTTGAGGTGTAAAACCGAAAATCATCGCTTAATTTAAGCTGTGGATATTCAAAGCGTTTAATTTGAATATTTTTAAAAATCGGGTGGTTGGAAGAAAAATATTCCGTCTAGACTTTTCTTGATAAAGAATTATCGTCCCTACCTGTCTATTTAACATTGCAATGTACATACACAGAATTGAGATAAATGATTAGATGTTCATTTTTCCCTACCGGTAGTAACTGTTCATTCAATATGTAATCATTTTTACAGTATTGTTCACTCTGTACAAGGTAGAGGGTCACGTTAGGAGGCAATTTATACGAATAGGAAAGGAAGATAACAGTTAACCTTAGATTTGAACAGGTTAAGATTGTAGTAATCGTGGAAAAGTCCTCTCGGGAGTCGGTTCCACAGAGCAGTAATTCGTGGTTGTTCGAGTGAAGCTTACTTCTTACCGATGGAATACGGATGGAATGTGGGTGGTTTGCTACAATGTAAGTGGTATGGCGGATCCTGACCGTGAAAGTTAGAACTGGCGGAACCAAGGACTGTAGTTCGTCCGAGCACATTCCACGGAAGTGAAAGGCTTGCCATATCCCGCCTGTGAGGTTTGGAGGGTGGGAAATACTTCGTCAACCACAAGAACAAGAAAAAGAGATACTTTTAATGTCTATCGAGACTGGAAACTGAGGACTTGGTAGCTCCCGCCCAAATATGACAACAGTACTCCATTTTGAGCCTGATCTGGTTCTTGTAAAGATAGAGGATAGCTACCTATTTGTTTAGTAACTCCTACCCTTGAAAACATTTATAATCTACATTACGCTAAAGGCAAATTCGTGGTTGAAAGCAATTGACGCTGTGTCTCAATCTATTATTAAGTAACTCCAGTTTGTTAGTTTTGTCTTAGTCAAATTCAATAGAAACACTTACAGTTCTTTGTTAAGGTGAAAGATTAACTTCGCCTTAATCAAGATACTTTTTAATATCGACCAGTTCCAATTGATGTCGTCAGATTTCAAACTTTCATAGTTTCAACTAGCATGAGATTCTAAATGAACAACACATCTTTCATGACGTCATGGATTTATCCCATCAATATTTGATGATCACTTGACAAAAGCTTGGCAACCAATTGATCTTTTTTATATGTACAGCAGCGTGCAAAAGTCTTTGGCCACTTTAAACTATTGTTAATTTCTAGTAATCGCCGGTTGATAAGGAAATGTTTCTTATAGCGTTTCTTATAGCGTTTTCTACAGATGAAACGGTGATCCTATTGGACTCGTTTCCATACCTAATTATTATTATTCTGTAGTAGGGATTCTGAATGAGAGAGGTGATAGACCACCCCACAAAAACGGGGGTGCAAACAATTTCCGATACCTAGCCGTTTTAGCTATATATTTTCGGTTTTGTTGCGAAAAACTATTTGCATAATCTATTTTTATGTGTAGCGAAAATTCTTACATCGAGTTTGATTGCATTCTTTTATTCTATGAAATCATGACGATCCCCCCACACACACACACACACACAAAATATACGGAATGAAAATATTAAAAATGTCTAAGAATATGAACCGGCAAGCAATAAGTAAGGTATTCGGAATTTTAAGAAACGACACTTAGGAAATCCTCTCGAAGTTTCAAAGCACTGAAAGATGTGATCGGCTTCGAAAACTGTTGCATAAGATGGTGCGGAAATTGCGAACAGCATATGCAGCAACCGTAGCTGTAGTGCGTGTATATCACAAGGGCCAAACAATAATAAAAAATAAATAAATAAACAATAACATAGGTAGATAATAAATGTGGCGAATGTGGTAATACTTGCCTTATACACGCAGTTACGGAACTAGGGTCACGTGTCATCTATATAAAACGTATGCGATTTCAAAAATATTTCCTTTTCCTTTGTTCTGTTATGTGACCACCATCCGCTGTCGAGCAAGTAAGTTATTCCACCACTACAGTCAAGCCCACTTGCATACAAGTACTCAGTGTCAACGAATGTAAATTTTGTGTAAATATATTAAACAAAAAAAATGTTTGTTTGTTTCTATTTTACGTGCAAAATTTTTAATTGCTATTGCTTTTAGTTGAGCTACAAGCAATGATCACAAAAATATTGAACAAAAATGGCCTGACGGAACACATCCCTCTTCAGACTTGTTTTGAATTCAAAATTGTCATTCTCCTATTGAATTCCCTAACAAGACTAAAGAGCAGAATGTGTTCTATTATTTGCAGAAGTTTTAATTAATTCAGAATGCTATTTAATTCTAGCTGGAGGATAATGGTTTCATGCCTTTTTCAAAGGCAATAATGTGAAGTTAAAGAAACAAACTCGGTCAGAATTTGAACTCGGCTCGTCGATTCCACTTTCCACCCGATAACTGTTACGCTACAGCACAATTATCATATCTGAAATTGCTACCTGATTGACTACCGTAGAGCAATGATTAGTCTTTCTCATATTGTAAATTCGATCAGTAATTGTTATCCCACAATTACGTCCTTGGATCAAATAAAGTAATCTCTGTCGCTCCCTCTCTCTTTCTCTGTCTGTCTCTCTCTCTCTCTCTCTCTCTCTCACACACACACGCATTTTTTTTTCTTACTACCCCCCTTGTAATGTATAAATATGTCAGATTTTATTTTATTCTTTCTTCTTAATATAGTCTAAAATCTATTTTATTTATAGGAGAAATGGATTCAATGTCAAAATAGAGCATATGTAAATATTAAAAAATATATTAAAATATTAAATATTATTATTATTATGTTATATATATTATATATATAAATATATTATTATATTATTATTATTATTATATATGTATCATTTATTATTATTATATATTATTATTATAATTATTAATATTAAAAATATTTTTAAAATATTTTAAAAAATAGACCATATGTAAATAAGTTGGCACATAGTAATCAACACTGCATGGTGACTGTCTCAAGATTACAATGGAGCGTTAAACAGTTAGTCACCATGCAGTGTTTAGTTCTATGATCACAATGTCTCTCTCTCTCTCTCTCAATCTCTCTCTCTCTCTCTCTCACACACACACACACACACTTTATATATATATATATATATATATATATATATATATAATAGCTGGCCACTCATACGAGTCTATTAGGGCGGCTAGCCAATCCCTATTGCAGACGTTCATTCAGACACATTTGTGTTTGTTCAACACTCACAGGGCCAATCTCTGGTTTATAATGCAACTATAATGAGCTGACCTTAGTTACAGTTTCTCGGAGAGAGCGTGTTATCTAGCATGATCAACAATCCGAACAAGGCCAGCACACTCAAACGCTCAGTCCCGATGACTTGTGACTTTGTGCTAGCACAGCTATCGACGCCCCCACTCCACCCCCAGGGATTCCGTCCACACATTTTCACTCACAAGGTTTGGGTCAATCCGTGGTATGGATTTCGGTCACTTTCTAAAGGTGCCGTATATATATATATATATATATATATATATATATATATGTGTGTGTGTGTGTGTGTGTGTGTGTGTGTGTGTGTGTGTGTGTGTGTGTGTGGATAGATACGTGTAGATAGATATGTGGTTGCGCGCACACATACACACACACACACACATACATATATATATATATATATATATATATATATATATATATATATATATATATATATATATATATATATATATATATATATATAAACATATATATACGTATAATACCAAACACTGTGTTTCGATAAATAAAAACCAGCATATTTCTGAAAGATAACACTTTTAATGTAAGTTTTTTATAATTAGAGTGGTCAATATAAACAGAGTATTAATATCAACAAATAATTTTAAATGCTTAAGATAATTTCTCTGAAACAGAAACATAAATTGAACATTTAATTTGATGGTTGATATACATACACATACACACACAAATATACAGATATATATATATATATATATATGAAAACCGTGTAAATATATATGTGTGTGTGAAAAAAGTCTGAACGATATATATATATATATATATATATATATATATATATATATATATATATATATATATATATATATATAATACTTTTTCATTATTTCTTTCTTTTCTTTCCTTATAACCCAACTTTTAATTCCATCATTTTTTTTCCCTTTTCGATCTATCTTTTACTATTTCAGTCTTCTTATTGCTGTCTCTTCTTTGCCCCCCAACCATTAACCTCTCTGTGTCATTTTATTCTTCCCACTTCATCATTCCTGTTGTCGACCCATTGACGCTTACAGGGAACGCCCGAAACCACTTTTCGCCCCCAAGAGTAAAGTAGAACGAAGACCACAGGGAAATACACAGGCAAGTCTTCGACTTTGTATCGCTCTTCCTTATTGTCCTAGGTGTGAGCAAATCGGTACGTTTTGTCGAACTGATAAAAATGAGGCAAGCCGCAGGGCGTCCCCGGGCAAATCGTTCCGGGCTTCTCGATCACACCTTTATTTTATCTCACCCAGCTGCTATCACGTTGCTTTAGTATTAACTTTTTTGCTAACCAATTTCACCTAGTGTTCTTTAACCGCCTCCATTGAAAAATCAAATTTTCAGCTGCGGTTGAAACTCAGCGGTTCCTCAGCCTAATCGGTACTTGTTAATCCAAATCCATCGTTATTCTACTAAATATTATGAATTACTGTACAAATAATTGCGAATGCTAGTCACAGTTGTGAAGCTATTCCATATGAGCATTACAATAGAAATTCTTCTTTATCATCATTATCATCGTCAGTCCATCATTGGATGTATTATAATATATATTATACTCCTCATAACGTATCTTTACAAGTATTTTTTCATCCAGTTGTAGTTTTCCTTTAGCTTTACAATGTCCAATTGTTATAGAAGCAAACACATTATTAAGCAGGAAACAAGTCTAGCTTTTGAGCTGTCTATGAAAAGCTTCCAATCTTCTTCAACACATGTTTTACACGCTATAGAGTGCCCAGATTTTGTTTTGATCACCCAGTTTCATGTCAAAGTTAAGCTTTCTTATGTGATTTTTTTCACTACCTAGCTTAAGTGTAACACCCACAAATAGAGCAGAAGATAATGGGGTTTTTTTTTTGCATTTCTAACTGGCCACATTTCTGAAATACTAAACATATATTCAAGCCAGTTTTCACCTGAGAAAAACATTCTAAAAAAATTACACTGTTATAAAGTAAGTAATTAGTAAGGTTTGTGATGGCAAAGTTCCATAAAGAACATACATAACAAAGTTTTTCTACAGTTCAGTGACCCTGATTTACAAAAAGCCACTTTGACCCATATGAACTCAAAATTACAACATTAAGAATGCATTCAAAATACCAGTTTTTATGATAAACAGTTAAATGTCCAACAAAACATGTCTCACCTGGTTTGCAGTGACAGGCGCACTAAAGCAAGCAGAGAAATGCAGCCTTCCAGAAATATGCGACATGTATGATGTCAAGGGCCACAAAAATGTATTGTCTGTATCTAATTGTATAAAGGACATTTCTATCGTCATTATGACATTTAAAACTAGTAACATTGACAATAGTGAAAGTTGCTCAAGTTTGACGCTTTTTATTTACTGAAGATACTCAAATCATGACATCTGTTTTCAGTTTTGTAGTTGCATTTACTTTAAATGACATTGAAGACTATGTTTTCAAAGTTATGTCAAGCCCTATACATGGGTCTGCATTTGCTGAAACCAAAACTATCCTTAGAAAGAGTGATAACTCTGGAAATGTTGAAAAATGGAGATTTGAGTTTGTGGAAAATCTTGACGTAACAGAGCAAAATAGATTCCATTTTTGAAATCAGAAAATTACTAGGAAATATGACTCCAACATCAGCCAGGAACAAAGCATGTTCCCCAGTGTAATTAAAACATCGTAAATTTTATATCATAGTTCTATTCTGTCATTGAAAATAGTTTTTTGATGATTTGCAACGCATTTCTAAAGGAAATTATTTATAATAAATTTCATAGTAAAATCATTTACAATTCATTTCTATAATAAATCATTTACAATCCAGTAAAAACATCTTTTACAATGTATATCTATAGTAAATAAAAACATTTACAATGTATTTCTGTAGTAAATGTTTTTAGTAATACATCTCCAGCAATACATTCACATTAGAAATATAATGGCTCTATTCTGTCAAGTTTAAATTAATTCCTGGTTGCTAAAAATCACTTTCTTTCTGATTTTCAATGCACTGCATACAGATAGATTGTTAAATAAATTTTAAATCAAAAATTGCAAAGTTTATGCTTAATTAAGAATTGGGGGTACAGGTGAGTGGTGTAACACTGGGTCGATGGCTGGCTTCAGACCCTACACTTTTGCTGTAACTGAAAACTAAACAGAATACTAATGTTGTCTTCTTGGCCTCAGTCTATGACAGTGCTGTATCAATTGTCTAAAATCATTGCCACCATTAATTTTTCAAAATAAATAAAATTACACATTACCTTCTAAGATTGTATATAAGTCTTATATAGGGAAAAAAATCTATAGTTTTCATTCCAGAAAATAGACACAAGCGAACAGCAAAAAATGTGTATTTACGATCAAAATTTTTTTTTCTTTTTTCAGTAGGATAAGTGATCGAAAAAACAATTCATTTTATGAGTGGATCACGTCAAAAGACAGAACCAGGAATCTTTAAAACTAAACATCTAATTTACATCCCGCCCGCGTTTTTTAGCATTTAATTGAGAACAACACCCAATTTTTGTTTTTGTTTTCTTGTTTTTTGTTTGTTTTGTTTTTTGTTTTTTGTTTCTTTTGTTTTTTGTTTGTTTTTGTTTGTTTGTTTTTTTGTTTTTTGTTTTTTTGTGAAGGGCCGTGCCTTTGGGAAATAATAAAATACCGAAACCGGATATAAATGCTCTCAGGGTCAAAATACAAGAACGAATACTTAATTTTTCTCAATCACCAGATTTTTATAATTACATATGCAATAATTAATTTCAACGAGAGTTTTAACGTATTTGTCTAATTTATGTAAACCATGAAATCACCGATTATATAAACAGTTATCTATAAATAATTGGTTTTATTTAATATTCGTTTGTCGTCTACCTTTACAAGCGCCAAATCAGACCGAAAATGGATTACTGCTGCTATATATGGGCAGGAGCTTCCCAGTTTTTACGAAAAGCATCTTCGCATCCTTGTCGTTAACAAATTATTTCCCACCCTACAACCACTTTTCCACAGACGAAACGTTTCAAACCTCTCGCTATTCTATCGTGATTTCCTTGGAAAATATTCAGGCGAACTATATTCCTTAATTTCATCGGTTCTAACCGACACGGCTAAGGCTTGCCATGCCGCGTATAATGAGTTGAACCACCCTCATTCCCTTTTTTTATTCCACGTGTGATATGAAAGTTCCACCAAGCAGCGTCTTCCTACGAACCGCTTCTTTGCGGAACCGACTCCCAAGAGGATGCTTCCCCGATCACTACACTCTTAATCTGTTCAATACTAGGGTTAACCGTTATCTTCACCACATATCCCAATATGCCCCTTAACTTGTAACCCTCTAACCAGAGTGGGTCTTTGGCTTTGTGCAGCATTGTAAATAAAATAAAAAAATAACTGATTGGCTCATAGCAGTTATGACGTAATTCTCAATGCATTGTTGTCTGTGCATTTTTTAAACAATTTGCATGTTTTCAAATCACAATTGAATAACTTTACTTTGTTTAATGATATATATGCGTTCCTAACACTATCTTTATTCGTCATGTAGGCTTACGGTCATATCACATGGAAACAGAAGTTCTCGTACTATTACCAACGTCAAGCCTGGTCAGTAACTATATGGGTGACCGCTTTGGAATCCCAAGTGCAGTAAGCCTGGATGTGCGAGTGGTGTAATGAATAACGGCTCGGAATTGGAAATCAGAGAATCGAGTTCCAATTTCAATTAGGTTCATTATATTCAGTTATGTGCAAATACCCTAGGAAAATGCATGAACCCACCTTTTTTCACCTGATCCGGCTATAAATTATTTAGCAGGACTTATATCAGTAAATCATTATTATCTCAAATAGTTATTACAATCTAAAAATATTTCTGGTTCTGGAAAACAAATCAACCAATCAGTTATTCGTCATAGCTGATTAAAATCGTGCTATTCTTTATTAAATAGTAAATAGAGCCACAAATCTCTTTTGGTGACTCCGGACGATTCCTAGTGATGAACGGGTTCCGACTCCAACATTGTAGGTTGCCGACTCCAGGGTTATTAAGTAACGCATTGGTTCACATATAACCGTAAGCTGGCCATCTCCCTCAGCAAAGGAAAAAAGTAAAAGTAGAAAAAAAAATGCAGAACTACGAGGCAAAAGTTTCCTCGATCTGCCAGACATTCTCCTGGCAGAACGTCGAAAATTAAGAAAACTCAGCAATACTCAGGAAAAAAAAATAAAACCTTTACCTTTATTATTTGAATACTGGGGTACTCGCACTTTCTCCTTATCTCTCTTTCCCCCCTCCCTCTCTCTCTTTCCCCTGATTTCTCTCTCCCTCTCTCTCTCACACACACACATACGCCAGGCATCTCTCCCACTCACAGAGACACAGCTAACATTTCACTGTCTCATGCACGCACCATCTCTCTCTTTTACACACACCACACCTCTCTCTCTCTCCCTCGCTTACGCATACACCTTACATCTTTTAGAAACACCATGTTTCTCTCTTTTCCTCTCTCTCTCTCTCTCTCTCTCTCTCTCTCTCTCTCTCTCAGACACACACACATACACCACATGCTTCACTCTTACCAAAACACTGATATCACCTTTTTCCTTACCTACAATATCCACGCATTTCACTCACACTCAGTACGACTCTCTCTCTCTCTCTTTCTCTCTCTCTCTCTCTCTCTCTCTCTCTCTCTACAGACACACTCATAGACACAAATTTAATCTTTTTAACAAACACACACCTCGGCTATCTCTTTTTCTCTATCTCTATATCTCTCTCACATACACACATTCAGACGCACACACACACACACACACGAGTTCTGAAAAATCGCAAACGTAATTCTCAATAGAGGCAAACCATCAGTGCCCTCCATTATTAATGGTTCTGTGGCTATCTCATACTCGTCAGATAAGGCTAAGATTTTTGCAATGAAGTTTGCTTCTAATTCCACGTTCCTTGCCTGACTTTCCCACAAAGCACTCGTTATGTGGTATATTTCGTGTCAGTAGACTTCTAGACTTATCAAAAGCTTTGACTATACGAATGCTAGTGGTTCGCATAAAATCCCTGTAACTGTCCTTGGCCCAGAACTATATCCAATCTTGGGAAAGCTGTTTAACCGCTGCCTGAAAAAGAAATGTTTTCCAATCTCGTGGAAGATGTCTAGTGTATACTCTGTCTAGAAAGATGCAAATTAGCCCGCGTCCCCGTCGCAATGTCGTCCTATCAGTCTCTTTGGTTTCATCAGTTTTTTTTTTTGTTTTTGTTTTTTGAAGGTTTTGAAGTTATTATCAACAGAAAGAATCTCCTGAATGACAAACAGAATAATCTTCGTGCCTCTCTGTCCATAACTGATGCCTTAACTACCATCACGCCTAGAATTAATGAAGTGCTTGATAATAAATACATATGGAGAGCGATCTCGAATGCCATCGACAAGGCATAGCATAGGAGATTGCTAAACAAACACTCCAGTTATAGGATCTCTGACAGAGTCTACTTATTACAAGTTGAGTCATAAGTAATTTTTTTTTGAGAATCATAATTACAAATGTATGCCCTAAATGCTAAACATATGTAACAGTTAAGAATTAATTTGGAGCACACTAACATACCTTACTTTTGGCACGGCAGTGGCAGTGCAACAGTAGATGAAAGGAAAAGTGTTATTCTCTTCTATAACAACGCAAAGCCGCATACAGAAAAAATAACTGAGGAAAAGATTTTGGAACACAGTCTGTTCTCCCCAAACCGTCTTATTCACCTTTGACCAATTATAACCATTTTTTTTTTTTTTTTTTTGATTGTTGCAAAACGTTTTGATTGGAAAGCCTTTTTTTCTCATAAAACCAAGGAATTTTACTCAAACTAGATATTTTTTGCAGGACGCTGACTCATGTTGAAATCCACACAATATTTAGTATTGTCGAAATTATCGCTAATATTTTTGTCGAAATTTACAAACTCTACGCTTCGTTCAATTTCACAAACCAATCAATAAAATTTGAATAAGCTGTTTTGTTTGGAAAATACTTTGACAAAAAACACTACTTCGTGGTTTGATAATTTCTTTAATTTAATTTAATAGGACATCATGGTAAACAATATTTTTTTAAGAAAAATTATTTTTTTCCTTTTCAACAGCGAAGAATATTTTTTTAGGATTTCTTATTCTTGAGCTCGCAACATACAACTGATCATGCGTAAATATTTATTTTTGGAGCCAAATTCCAACCTTCTGAAACGTTTGGCCTTGTGATTTGTTTATAGTTCTCACAAACGCAGGCCGAACTGGAAACTGGATTTTTGTATATATAAAAACTTAAAGAAAAGCTATGCAAAAACAATATTGCATTTTTATTAAATAAATATTTGTTATTTTAATCATTAAATTGTTTTTTTTAAATAGTGGGAGTATTTTGTATGTTCCAAAAAGATTAATGAAAATTTATTATACTAAGGAAAACCAACTGTACTTTGTACCCCCTTGCCTGCTTGTACTTCTCCCAAAAATTTGGCCTCAGTCGGTCAGTGAATTGCTATTTTAGAAGATGCGACGGACGGACGAACTAACAGAAGTCACAGAATTTTATATATAGAAGGTATCGAAGAGCTGCTTGATAAGTGGCAATTAAGGGTGTATATTGAATTGAATAAAATATAATTCCACTTTTTTAAGAAAAAATTGATGAACTAAAATGAAAATTATTTATGATTCAACCTAATAATATAGAAACAATATATATTTAAATTGCTTGTATTAATTGGAACAGCTCCTGAATTGGCTTAATTTGTGTCCCAATTAAACAGACTCTGCCATCTACATATATATTGGAGATGTGTAGTTGTCGACACAAAGGGAAAATTCCGAACCAAGTTCAAAATCTGATCGATTCTGTTACCTTCACTTCGCCCTGATACCCTAAAAAGGCATGAATGGATAGCAGGGCAGATTGGGCTCTGAAACCTTGTTTGGCCTCAGGCTAGGAGGAGAATTCCGAATTCATCTATGAATAGGGGTACTTCTGAAGTGTTGTTTTCTGTTATCATTTCCTATGTAAAGCGTAATTTGTTCTACCCAAGCCTTCACCACTATAATCAAATCATACGTAGAGCAGTTCTAAATGGAACGGTTGATCTCCCAGGTTTCAAAATCGACAAGAGAGTCCACCATATTTACCCTTCTTCGTCTGCTTAAAATTAGTAAACTACTGCTCTTCAGACTTGAGTGCTAGCCAGTTTATAAGAAGAATAACTACGTATTAAACATCTGCCAATGAAGCTATAAGCTGTCATCTTGAGCATTCTTGACATTGGATTATATTAGTTGATATTCAGTAAGTAATATTCATGTTATATCTATGACTAGAATCTCCCAGAATTACCGGTACTTTCTTTGTATAAGAAAATGGCCGTCGAAATTGAGTAAACTGACAGCGTATATATATATATATATATATATATAATTTATTCGAAAATTATAACATAAATATGTTATAAAATGACTACAAAAATAGCCATTTTGTTACAACACTTCTGGTGTCTTATAAAGAGATGGTGTTGAATGTCAACTAGTGCTGTTTCATTTTCAAGCGAATTTTGGAATCTATAGTTGAATATATATTTGAAGTTGAAGTTTTTGCTTCTGTTTTTGAAACAGGGTAATTCCTGTGTAGCGATGGAAACATATTTTTAAATTACTAAATTTATAATATTTATGCTCTGTAGATTTGCATTGAGCACTGTTTTGTAAAAATAAAAATATTAGTAAGAACACCGGATTATATATCTTACTGTTTTTTCTCTTTATTATAACACACACACACACACACACATATATATATATATATATATATATATATATATATATATATATATATATGCGTATATTTTGGCAGCATGTTTTCATTGTGACATATTTCATTGAATAATTTAGACAAGTATAATCTACTTATTTTCAATTGGATCCTAATGTATTTACGAACAAGAATTATGGTGTCGTTATTGAAGGATGAGAGAAAACCACCGTGTTGATACATATTATTTATTCCGAGTACTTTCCACATAGCACAATGTCATCATCATGGTATTGTTTATTGCAAGACAAATATTGTAGTGTTACCTCCCCTGAAGCTGTGTCAAGCGACCACGCGCTGACTCAACCTTCTTCACTCCACAGGTAACAAATTTAACTATCAAATGAACATAACATTTTTGTCTTGCAATAAACAACACAATGATGATGACATTGTGCTATGTCGAAAGTACTGGAATAAATAATATGTATCAACACGATTTTCTCTCGTTCTCCAATAACGACACCAAAAAGATATATATATATATATATATATATATATATATATATATATATATATATCATTTTAAATGTTATTTTAGTAGATACCCATATTTGAGCAGACGCTCCCTTTTATTTTCTAAACTATTTAATTGTTTTCTTCTACCGGCCTGAATATTCGATAAATCTTTAAAATTTTCAAAAGAAAGATACGCCCTCCGGGGGTCTGCAAGAGGGATCCAATGTACTTTAGGACAACTCGGCCACGACAATCGTCGCCGATCAAGCAAGGCTGAATAGTACCATATAAGCGCAAATCCTTCTCGTCCCAGATTTTCGTAGATCATATCTGTTCAGTTTCGTATCCGAACGTGAACAAACCAATTTCTAAAGTAATGAATTTTTTATTTACAAATCCGAAAGATTTTTTCACTTTAAGCTTTATTTTTTAGTGGATACCAATATTTGAGTAGACGTACCTTTTTTTTTTATTAATGTAAACCCCATATTTACTTCATCTACCGGCCTGAATATTCGAGAAATCTTATTAAATAAAACGATATATATATATAGATAGATAGATAGAGAGAGAGAGAGAGAGATAATAATTATTTATTTAAATATTCTCTTCTCCCTTTTATATGTGCATATGTATATGTGTGTATTTATATATGTATGTGTATTATGCGTGTGTGCGTGTGTATGTGGGTGGGTGTGTATGTGTTAGTATTTTAGCTGTGACAATGTTCTCCCAACCACAACACATGAAAATCACGTTGAAAGCTAACAACCCCTCCTCCCCTACATATGTCTTCAATATTATAAATCCCCAGAAAATTGATTTTCTAAGTGAAGCGTCTAGACTGCCTGTAATCTTGTTTTTTGGGGTTTTTTTTAATATTAGGATAAATTTAAATTTAAACCATTTGTAATTTCGGTCTGATGAGACGGGTGTTAACTTACCTGTTGAAATAAATTATAATTTATAAGCGTGTTTTCGATGATTCATTAAGTTTTTTCCTTTATATATATATATATATATATATATATATATATATATATATGCTTTTTTAATTAATTTTTTTTCTTTTTTGATTTTAACAATTTTTTAAGTTCAAAACTGATCTTGAATACAAATTGTCCAAAATTTAACTTGAATCTACAGAGTCCATATTGATGCTGAAATCTATTAGGTTGGTGCAAAATAATGACGTAATAATGTCGTTTTTTGACCTTAAAAATACGTTGAAAACGACATTATTACGTCATTATTTTTGTACCAACCTAATACTAAAGCCTCTTTCTCTCCTCAGTCTTATCGCTTTTTAATGCGTCTGTAGTTCTATATTTCACCACGCCACCACTTCTCTTTTTCTTTTGATCTTTCTCTCTATTTCTCTTCTTTGAAGACCAAACCTTTTTTATTCAACGTTTTGATTTTTTTCTTTCATCTAACTTCGGCTTTTCTCTCAAACTGTGCTCTACAAATTTTTTCTCTTTCTGTTAAAAAATCTTATCCACTTTTAATCAACCATTCTATCTATCTCTTTCTTGCTCCCTCTCCCTCTCTCTCTCTCTCTCCTTCTCTCTCATATCTATCTATCATTCATTCTATCATTTACCATTTTCATTCTAATTTTTCTTCACTTGTTCATCTTTTGTATACTTCTTTTGCTTATAACCTTATCCTTTTCTCGCTAATATCCTTATTAAAACTATTCTTTCAATTCTTTCTTTCTCTCTCTCTTTCTTTTCCATTCTTTCTCTCGTCTTCTTTTTCTCTTTCATTTGACATCTTTCCTATATTCCTTTTTCTTGTATGCATCCCTCTCTCTCTCTCTCTCTCTCTCTCTCTTCTCTCTCTCTTTCTCTCTTTCACTTTTCCCTTTTTCTCAGTACAATCTCACTTATTCTCTTGTCATTCCTTATTGCCCTGACTTCTCTCTTTTCTCCTCTCTCTTTCTCTCAATTTCAGTCCCATCTCTCTTTGCCCCCTCTCTCTCTCTCTCTCTCTCTCTCTCTCAATCACTCTTTCTCTTCTTTCCTTTTTGTTTTCTCCTTTTATGCATCTATCACTATATCTAGTTATCACACTCCCTTTCACCGTCAACACATCACTAATCTCCCTCGGTCTTCAACACTCCCTCCCACCAATCCGACGCGTAAATCGATTAGTGCTGACCGGCCCAGCCCAGCCGATCAGCCACCAATTAGACTCGCATTTCACTTTCAGACGAAACAAGGGCAAAATTTAAAATGAAATTTGAAACAAAAATAATTAGCGTCATATTATTTAATTACGCCAGGAAGTAATTAGTGTCTTTGTTTCATTAAGTCAGCTTTTTAATAAGCGTTGTGGGCGCACTTTGCAAAACTTAGTAACATCCACTTGGCAAACCCGCGGGGTACGTTACTCGGTGTGACGACTAGTGTGCCTACGTGTTTCTCAGTGTGTGTGTGTGTGTGTGTGTGTGCGTGTGTGTGTGTGTGTGTGTGTACGGTCATGCAAATTTCTATTTATGTACCTTTTTATTTAGAAGTGTGCGACTGTTTTCAATTGTCCTTCTAATATGTGCGTATAAATATGAAAACGCATTAGCGCGTGTATTTGTATAAAAGGTTATGTATAACTATGTATATATAAGTATAAATGCTTCAGGCTTCCCATCTGGATACGCTAATGATGTTTATGTGAAAGTGTGGGTATATATATATATATATATATATATATATATATATATATATATATATATATATAGCGTATAGCATATATGGTGAACTAGCCTGCAAGTTGCTATAATTAATTTAGTTTGATCTTAGATTGCTCTGTTCTATAAAGTATTGAGCACTTTTCTTATTTTTACGCTTTTTACGTGTTTTTAAGTTAAAGCGTAAATTGTTTTAATACCTATTGGTACATAAAACAAAACATTAAATAATATATATATATATATATATATATATATATATATATATATATATATATATATATATATATATGCGAGTGTGCATGAGCGTTTACGTCGATATTTACATGAAATCAACTTGGGAACAAGTTCATTTTGGCACAAAAAATTAGGCCGCGCTAAATGCTGATCCAGAAGTATATTCTTTACGTATATTGAGTAGTCGTCTATATGCCGTATACCTTCAGGACGTAGACGATCATGGCTTCCTACAATTTCCTTAGAGCTTTTAGTAATTTTTGTCGTCTTACTATCCGTCTCACTCCCTGTTCTGCTATCTATTTGCACAAGCAGGTTATGTAGGTTGCTGGCTGTTTCGTACTGACCCCCACTTTCCTTCAGTATGCTTTGTAAGTGTCAAATTTTCCCAGCCCTCTTTCCTCATTCTGTTTTCCAAGGATTTCAACTATCATTTTCTGGTTCTAAGTTTTCCTTTTGTTTCCATTTTCCTTAAAATTTCCTTGTTGTCTGCATGCTCCATGCATACTATTCTCAGCATCCTTCTGTAGAACCTCAAGTCACTTCTTCATTTGTGGTTTACCTCTACATCACGTTAAAACAACGGTTCCCGTACGATCATCGAAGTTAAGCTGGCCAGTACCTAGATGGGTAACCGCTAGAAATACCAGGTGTTGTAAGCTTACATATGCTGGTGGTATAATGGATAATTGTTAATCGGAGAGCTGAGTTCCAATTCCCGTTGGGTTCGTTAAATTCGCTTATGCACAAATCCCCCTAGTAGGAATCCACCTTTTCTTCCTTCAGCTATGGGTTAATTATTATCATTGAATTATTATTATCTCCAAAAGAAAGTCTGACAATCTAAAAAATATTTTCTGGCTTTAAATAACTTATAAATGGTTGATAAGAAGTAGAAAACGAATCAGTTAATGAATCTTCTTCATCTAGGAGGAAATTGTCTTGCATTCACTATCATATAAGAAGACTGGTATTACACAGCACTTCAGGACTCTTTTCTTTGTATTCTCACGAAATATTCCTGCCTTTTATATTTTGTTTAGTTTTTGGAAGACATCTTTTGCAATTCCAATAAGCCTTTGGTGTTATTTTCCGTCACCTGATAAAGTACTTCCCAGATATTTAAATTTCTGTACTTGTTTAATTTTGACATCTTCAATTCGTAATTCGAATAGCAAATTGCACTATAAAAAAACAAAGGTATTCAATTCAAAAGTGATATTTTTTTAAAAAATGGATACATGTTTTACTTAGAAAAAATCGAAAATGGCTATTCAATAAAACGGCTCTCAGGCCCTCTAAAGTGTGAGGCCATCCGCTGGATTTAATAATTAGTAAGTTTCATGCCTCCATTGGTTTAATTAACTCCTACTAAGCTAAAATGCTGAAACTATTCAACCTGTTAGTGCATGGCGTTCAATCATTTAGAGGGGGGTTACGTAACATTAAAAATCTGTCAGCTCTAAGATTACCATTAACCAGCAAAGTAGATTAAGCAAAAAGAGCTTAAACTTTATGCAGTAATGCGTTAATTTCATTATTATTATTATTATTATTATTATTATTATTATTATTGCATAATATATAATAAAACCCTTCAGGAAGAGAATGTCACACTGACCCGAAGTGAGCTAGTAAATTAGTTTTGAAAAAAGCACGAAACCTTCATTTTTTATGTGATTCTTTGAAACCAAGAGGGCTGCCCCAAACTTTTTGCCTATAGTATAACTAAAATGAAAGTGAAAAATTACTTAAATACGCTGTCATAATTTTCTATATACTCGCAATGCACATTAAAATCATTAGCACAATAAAATAATTTAAATAAGGTAATTTTTGTTTTAAAACTTTATACTCTGTTGTCTAACTCACCTTTCAATTATTTGTGCAATAAGTAATTAAATATATAAAAGGCATTATTCTGCCAATGACGCTTTCATCAATTCCTGAACACTAAAAAGAAAAGGTGAAAGAAGTGATTAATCAAAAAACGCATCTTGACCAATAAATAAAAAATCTACAAAACGATGTGAACATTACAATCATTTCAATAAGGCTTGCTCTAAAGCACAAATCCACAACTTGACAAATTAAGGAAGACTGGACAGTTGAAACATTGTTATTAAATACGATGATTATTCTTGGACAAAGATAGCTTTGTAGCTACCAAAATTGTCTGCATGAAAGTTTTTATGAATAATAAAATAGTAAACCTTAGAGCTACACTATTGATTTTTCGGCAACTGATTGTCTAAACACCTCTTTTCATTCGAAAGAAAAATTAATAAAGGACACTTGAATATTTTTCTGCTCTCATATTTGACTACAGGGTGTCCAATAAAAAAGCGGCAAATTTATTCTTCGAGAAATTATACCACCTCTAATTGGTCTATCTCAGTGGCCCTCTAAAAGTCCAGATTTTATTGTTATGGAGTACTGTATCTGGGGTATACACTTAACTCACTTGCAAAACAGTCGTCGTGACATCGTCGATATTGATTCATTGAAGTGGAACTTAAATGAAGCTTGGAATGAAATCTCTTTCTGGCACTATCTGTAAAGTTACCTCCTCCTGGTTACCACGCTTACAAATTTGTGTCAAACACTCAGGCAAACATTTTGAACATTTACGATGACTGTTCAGTTTGTGCATGAATCATGATAGCTAAATAAATTTATTTCTGAATTTACTACTTTTTTACTGGGCACCTTGTATTTATTTTTATTTCATATTTAATGTTTGCTTTGAGTTTCTGTTTTAACAATATAAAGTGGTCCATGATTAGGAAAGAGGTGAATAAATTATTATGTGACCTTTTTGATCAAGAAAAATTAACAATCTGATACGGTTCTACAATTATTAATACGTAACCTCTTTTGTTAAAGCAAAATGGAAAATCCTACACAGTTCTAGAATTATTATTACGTGGCCGTTTTTAGTCAAGAAAAGTGGTTCTAAAACCAGGTTTACTGGAACATCTATTATGTATATTATGTGCACTTATTGAATGTTCAATATTGGCTTTCACTGAAGATCAAGTGACAGCAAATAACCTCATTACTACCTTACCCTTTCAGTATTTCTGCTGATTTTAGTAACTGTATTCTGGATGGATACAGATTTCTTCTGATATTCTACTGGTTTCCAGCTGTCTGGAAAGTTCCAGATAATTTTCAAGTTCTACTCGAACACCGATATCCATCTCATAGCTATTTTATTAACTTTACGATTACTAGATCTGGTTTCTTGATCTATGTTGAATGATCTGTTTGAATTCAAAGAATATAACACTGCTCGTCTTTGCATCTTGGCTCGTCGGTAGAATTTTTAGAAATATCTTCGGGTTTGGTAGCCCAGTCCGCTCAAACGGCTGCCGATTGAGGATTTTATTGAGTGTATAGATGTTACTTACAATTCGAATTGGCTTTGCCATTCTTCAAATTAAAAAAAAAAACATTTCTCTCGATAAACGGCCATTGTTTACCTCTGATGTTTTCTCACTAATATTACCTCTCATTAACAGAGATGCGCAGTGTGTCTGCCCTTACATTATATGCCCAACTGGTTAATGCCAAGCAACTGATAAGTAAACATGTGATACTTAAAGGGATAATTATTGTAGCTCATCTTAATTCACCAAGACAAAACGTTCATGTTAACATCTCAAGTGATTTAAGATCAGAAGCCATGAGAATCACGCCTGGTTTCGCATCAAGATATTATTATCTCTCCTTCTGCGCGCTTTTTCATTTTAAACCGGAGATCTTGCATTATGAGCGTTCTCCATCAAATTGTACGACATCAGACAGACAGCACTTTTCTCAGAATATTAGCGGAGCCAATCAATGAAGATTTCTGAAGTGATGGACTACTAGGCTTTATTCTAATTTTCTTAAGGTAGGTCTTTATGTTCGGTTGTATAGTCACCAACGCCCCAATGATAACCGGGACAATAGTGGCCTGAACGTTCGTCTTTCAGGTAGCCACAATGCGGAGGTCAATATACTTTTTAAGCTTTCAAATTTCTTTAACCTTTATATTATAGTCATTAGTAATTGCCACATCAGGGAGGAGGCATATTCTTGTTTCATTTTTAATAACTGTGATGACTGGTTTGGTAGCCTCATTCTAATTTAAACCTGACCTATGTCTAACTTTTTGACTCTCGTGTAAACTGAACAAGCATCTAATAGTTGGCGCATTTGTAAACCGGACCTGCTTCAGCCATTTTGACTCAGATCTCTACTGTGCGATATTAATATAGCTCCGTCCATGGTTCCGCTTGATCCCCACAAATCATGGTATCACTACAAT